ACACTTAATTATTTCAATGTGCTTCATCCAGTAGAAAGGTTTTTATTCAAGTGAAGAGGGGCTCTCAGGTATCTTGGACTGGGATTTCATGTTACCGTTGTAGTAAGGGATGGTGAAGCAAGCATTTAAAAATGACAACTAGATGGATCCTTGAAGAGATTGATTATTGATGCCAGTTGCCTTGCCCTGTTTGTTTCTTATGAAGAAGGTAAAGCAGGCCTCACCCTAGGGCCTGGGGAGGAAGGCAAGTGCGTGGGTGTGCAGGGCCGCACGGCTGGAGGACAGGCAGTCCCCGGGTAGGAAACACTTTTTGGCAGCTTGAGCAGTGATTATGAGCAAGAGATCAGGGATGCATGTGCAGTAATGCAGACAGCCTTTCGTAAGGCTCTGTTTTTGGATTTGACCAAACTCTTCGAAGAATGCTGGCCACTTTGGGGAGCCAAGCTGCTCCCAGATGTAAAAGCGCTCCCCGTTGAAAAGGTTTTCATTGTAACGGCATCTTGGACACAAGTGGGTTCCTGCAGCCCAGAGCAGGCAGGTACCTGATTGAAACGACCCAAGTCAGAACCATCAACAGCGCCAAGGGAGGCCCGCTGCAGGAAGCAGCAGGTGGCCCTTTACAGAGGAGGGGACGCCGACAGGACAGGACCGTGTGAGCACAATGGCATCAGGTCCTTATTCTGCCATTTTCAGGTACAGAGGAAGCGCAATCCCTGTGCTCCTGCTTATTTGTTGGGCCATAGGTATGATTTGTCTTCAGAACTCCTTTAGCAACAGTGGGACTTGAATTAGATGAGAGGGTTCAGTGTGTGTGTGTGCGTGCGTGTGTGTGCATTTTTTAAAGGGCTCTTGTACACAAGGTGGAGTGTGGGCGGGGAGAACAAGCCTGGTTCCCCGTGGTGTTTGTTAAAAGCCGTCGATGAGTGAATGCAACTCTGGCCTTGCTCAGGGCAGCGCGAGCAGAGCCCCGTGGAGCGCCCTGCAGAGCGCACGAATTGCTGTTAAGCTTTATTCTGGCGTCTAGGGCACTGTGTCTTAACGACACTTCACCGGAAGTTTCATGCCTCAGAAATTTGTTTTACCTACATTTTATAGCTTCATGTGATATGAATCTCTCTTATTTCTTCATGGAAAATCATTCTATGGGGCATTTCCCCCCCCTTTATAAACACCCGAGAGACTTTCAGAGCTGCAGCACCTCAGAGTTAGCAGCTCTTCCAAACCAGATGCTGCTTTTCTCTTTCGATTACGAAATATGCCTTTTCCTTTTCTGCAGCTGGGCAGCTCATGACAAGAAAAGAAAGGACATCTTTTTATCCATCTAGTAAATGTGAACAAATATTAGCCTAAGGAATGCCCAAAAGGTGGCGTCTGAGAGGCAAGCGAAGCTGATAGTTATTCATTAGGCAGCTACGTGCCTGGGTGTAAAGGCTGATGACAGACTTGGCGGTCTCGTAGATCAGTACTCTCTGATCTTACTGTGTACACGAATCACCGGGGGGGCTTATAAAAATGCGGATTTGGATTCATTAGGTCTGGACCGGGCCTGAGGCTCTGTAGTCCTGACTGGCTCCCAGGGAGTACTCATGCTGTTGGTGCCTGGACCACACTTTGAGTAGCAAAGGGCTAGTCAGTGTTCTCTTCCCAACAGGAGCCTGGGGAAGGCAGTTTCCTTGCGTGCCTGCTGGAGACACCCTCAGATGACCCAGAAGTGAGAATAGGGGAAAAGACTAAGGATTTAAAAGTCAGAATATGACACAAAACAAATTGCAAGGTTAAAGAGTGAATAAAATAATATTCCATGAATTATGGTAAGTGTACATAGAACAGTCATTGCATCAGAAGCAGACTGCAAGAAAGCCGCCGTCAGCAGGCAGCCGTCCTTCCCTGGGCGTAGCATCCCCTCTGCGGAGATTACACGGGAGACACAGGGACTGTTTCTGTTGACATAAAATTCTGCTGAGAGGTCCTTAAACAGCAATTACTTGGAACAAAAAACAATTTAAATCAGGCGATGAGAAGAATGTAGAATTTATGAACCTTCTGGTCCAGGGCTCCTCTAGGGAGAAGAAAAAATCCAACTCCTTAAAAAAAATTGATTTTAAAAATGGTAGTTGGTGATACTTTTAGGTGTGTATTTACAAAGCTGCCAGAAACACAGCGCCCTGCCATGAGAGAGTTATTATTTCTGCAAAGAATTAACATAAACTCAAAAAACTGACTTGTATGGGGTCCCTGGAAGCTGTGTGTGCTATGATGGCTTTTAGGTGGGACTCAGTTTTGGGCCTTGGGGACCCCCTCTTCAGATTGCCCCAGACATTGTATCCCCTAAAATACTGATCAGAATCTGTTGATCAATCAAAGATAACTGCATGTACTGGAAGGCTTAGAGGACATGGCAGAAAACACAAAAAAATTACTTCAGCTAGAGAGTATTATGAAGTTTCTGAGTCACCACAGAACTCAGAACAAAATAAAATTACCAGGGTAGAACATGTCTTAAAACACATGCATGAAACAACTCTGGGTTGTAATATAATATTCCCTAAGGAGAAAAAAAGAGATTGTGACCAAGATTAATCATGCATCTCTTCCTCTCATTTCCTGCAGTTAAAGTTGAAAGCCAAGAACTGTTGTTGAACTTGCATCCCACTAATTCAGAGATGAGCCAAACCCTCCTTGATTCATTGCTGCCCCAACCCAGAGAGCTCTGGGAGGCGCAGGCCAAGCCTTCGATGCCTGGAGTACCTCCGTGTAGAGCTTGGCACTTTAATCTCCTCTCTGGTCTTTGTTGACCATGGTGGCACCATGAATTGTTGCTTTGTCTTGTATTTTTGTACTCCATCATCGCTGCATGCATTTAAAATGTAATCTTTCCGTTTAGATGTATTTCACTGAAGAGGACTAAATATCATTCATACAAGGAACTGTCTTTCCAGATATCCCCAAGTCATTCATTTCAGGTTTGAAGTCATGTTCATTCCCAAGGAAACTTTCAAAATAATTTATTCACTCATATTTCTCTGTACATTTCCCTTGACTGCCTGTTCTATGTTAGCAGAGAAAGTGCGAGGGTGAGGACCTGCACTGCTGTGAAAGAGCCGCCTCCCCAAACCTCCCACACCCCGAGAGCACTGTCCAGCATTTCATCCATTTTTAATGAACTGTGAGGTGGAATTATCTAGGATTATCACACAGGTAACTCTGTTGGTTGACTCTGCTTATGTACCGAGAAGTATGGAATGCTCTTCCCATTGACAGCCCTCCTTTCTTCCCTGTGCCTCTAGAGACCAGGCAGAAAGGAGCAATTCTCTGGGAGAATTGTCAGGTATGTGTTTGTGCCTTGTGTTTGGTTTTAGTTTTCTCTCCATTCTCTAGATGTTTCCTTTAAAAAAGTACTTAACTTCCTTTGTAAGAAATTCAGTTTCCCTGACTTCTCTTTTCCTCGGTGTGCCTAATGGTCCTTGAAATGAAAACTTTGCTGAGTTTCCTGATTTGTACTTGGGCAGCCTACTCAATGATTCTTAAGGGAATAGCTGGTGACCTGCCGTTTTTTCTGTTGAGAGAGAATGCACATTTTGCATTCTGGCATCTAAACATAAGGGAAAATTTTAAACCAAAGACATACATAGCTAGATAATCATCTCCACTATAGTATCAAACATTCCTTCAAAGCAAAACCTCAATTTCCCATCTTCCATCACTTTGATCTCATGGGTGAGTTTGTCTTTATGGTGCAATACTGCATGGTTAGACTTACCTCAAGTCAAATATTTCTTCTTGAAAACCCTCCACTTTGAGAGATTATTGCTCACGAGAACTTAATGCTCTAAATAATGACTTTTTTTCTACTTCAGATTCTGGGTTTAACTTATTTTATTTTCTCCTAAAATTGTGAGTGTGGTTGTGATTGCATCTTTAATACTGTTTAAGACTTATTTCCTTCTTGGTGGTTCTATGAAAATGGTGTATGGTTATATCGACTTTATCTGGCACTTACAGACCAGAATCTTCCAAATGGTTCTTTGCATATCATGATCAGACATATTGCTATGGAAGTCTCGAGACTAAAACTCCCTTCTTGTCATATGCGTGGGACTTATTTTTTGATTTCTCAGTTTAGTCCTTCCTGGTTTGGGATTGCTATAGTTATTGTAGTTATTCTGTAACTATTCTTTGAGTATAACTTTTCTTGGCAGAAATCACCCCAGATTTCTTCTTGTTGACATGGCTTTGACTTGTGTCTCAGGACTTTTGTATTTCTAAAATAGCTCTAATAGTCCATTAATTCTACCAATCAACCAACCAACCATCTGACTGAAAAAACACACCATCTGTCAAACTAGTTATTTGACTGTTAGAGTGGGCTTACATTGCTGTATATTATGTAATTAAATTTGGATTATATTACACTGTATGCTGTGGATTCCAGGCACATCATATGCCGATCAAATTCTTGTCTCTAGGTTATTACTAGTTTGATGGATTATCGTATGTATAGTGACCTAAGTCATGTGTTTGAATGTGGCTGGGATCTATAGGAAAAACAGATGCTATCCAGTAATATATTTACAAAAGTCCAACTTAATGTGTGTGATAATGATATGATATGGAGTCTGAGGGCACTGGATGGGAAGTAGAAAAGCTGAGGAATGTCCCAGCTTTGTCTCAAAAATGTCTTCTTTAACCCATCTAGGTAAGTTTCCTCATCTGTACAATGAGGGGATTGGACTATAGTTTCTGAGGCCTCTTCTAGCTCTGAAAAGTTAAGACTCTACCTGAGAATGGACATGGGTTGTGCCTTCTTGACTTTGGAAAATGGCATAGACCATTAAAGGACCCTCCTTCAGATTTCTATGTCTCTTCTTATCTTTGGGTTCAGGATATAACTGTATTCAATCTTGTGGTGGAAAACACTTTTTCAAGAAACGAACTATATCTTGCCATGAAACGGGATAAATGGTTAATTTGGTGTAATGACATTAACTCGTGTAGGTTGCTTTGTTCTTCAGGATTTTATTCAATCATTAGCTCGTTAGACCTCTAGGAGCCTGTGCGGCACCCTCACACCAACCGTCTCCCTGGGTTCTGGTTCGGGAGAGAGCGTGATCTTCCCGCTGGGACCCAGTTCATTCCTGCAGCCTTCTGGGGAGGTGATGGCCTAGGGAACCATTTGCCTGTCGAGTGCACACATCTGGACAATTCTCTCTGGCCGAGCAAACATACTGCTCTCAAATTTTCATCTGCATCAGTGAAAAGTGAGGAGCGGCCCTCTAGCAAAATGTAACTGTGCAATAATGTAACAAAACTGGCTAATGGCACTTCGTTTATTACAGGGCTAAATGCTCATTATTGTTTGTAAAGAATGAATTTATAACCTTGGCAGAGTTAAGTTTATACATGATTGATTTCCATTTACAAAGGTATAAAGTCCTTGTTTTCTTGTCAAGCTTTGACTTACAAAACTCCCGTTTTCTTCTAGCTTGGGGTATGTGTGTATGTGTGTGTGTATTTAAGAGAATGTTTAGTAACTAGATGGGGGAGAAGGGAAATAGAATTTGAGATGTGGAAGAAGGGGAAACACATTTCAGAAATTCTAAAACACAAACAAATAAAACCCAAAACACTGAGGGGGTGTCACAGAAGGTCTTAACAGGAAAGACCCACACTGTAAGCTCCTGTTTTTATGTGCTTCCTCCAGGAGCAGAAGAGACTAGAAGGACTGGATTTTTGTAAGGAAAGGAGTGTGAATCTGGAAATTCTTAACTAAAATTGGTGTAATTTCATGCTGCAAAGAGGCACTTCGCTTATGCAATTGGAATAAAAATAAAGTGCCTACCTGGGTGTTTCTAGGGTAATTGTAGGCAAATGAGACTAATTAGAAGCCTCTGCAGTCTGTAATTAAAAGCTAGGAAGTAACTCACTCTGTGATAAAAGATCCCTGGATGTTTGGAAGAGTCACACAGAAAGGACCCAAATCCTTCTTGGGGGCTTTTACTTGCGCAAGGCCAAAGTCCCTGTTCTATGGGGCACGTCATTTTGAAAAGCGGGGGATAAATGGATCCAGAGCTTAGTACTCAGATCTAGCCCCTGAATACACATTTGGGACAATGAGTATGGGAAATAGGGAGAGGCAACATTTTAGTACCAGTTCTACTTGGAAAATGTCATTTAAATAGAATGGGAGCTTCCGTGGGGCAAGTTGAGAAGCACAGTTGTCTCCCACATCTGCAGGGGTAGGTTCCAAGACCCTAGTGGATGCCTGAAACCAAATCCTATATATATTATGTTTTTTTCTTATTCACACATTCCTTTTCACTTAAAGGAAGCACTGTACAGCTTCTCTCTGCATATCCAAATTCCCAGCATCACTGCTCTTGCGCTTTGAGGCCATTCCTAAGTAAAATAATGGTTAGTTGAACACAGCACTGCAACACCATGGCAGTTAATCTGATAACTGAGACGCCTACCAAGTGCTAATGGGCAGGTGGCATATACTGTGCGGATACGCTGGACAAAGGGATGATTCATGTTCCAAGAGGGGCAGAGTGGACGGTGCAAGATTTCCTCACACTACTCGGAACAGCGTGAGATTTTAAACTTATGAATTGTTTGTTTCTGGAATTTTCCATTTAATATTTTCAGACCACAATTGACCGTGGGTAACTAAAACCATAGAAAGGGAAACCACAGATAAGGTTGGGGGACAACTGTACTTTCAGTTGGAGCTAGAGGAAAAATTGAGGCACTTTGCTTAACTTTTGGGGACAATTAAATTCTAACCCTTTCAGGCCCTTCCTTTAGACCAGGTTCTTATTGGGCATGGGAGAAAGTGTGAAATCAAGGGAAGAAAGGGGAAGGGAGGGAGCAGGAAAGTTCACTTTGCTGAATAAAGAATATTTCACATGATAAGTCTGCCATATTCTTCCCCCAATCAATTTGATTGAAAAGCAAGAATACTACTTTCTTAAACACAGTTCATCCCTAATTTGCCATGACAATATAATACAGAAAAAAGAACGCTCCCTATCAACGTAAGCATTTCCAGGATGAATCTTTGGCAAAAATGGAACCTGCAACAATTCAGATAGTGTTTTCTTTCAACCAGGTTCAAAAATGAAGGCTCTGAAATTTCCAAAAGTTTTAACGTCCTCTTGTCTCTCCTTAGAGTCAGGCATTCAGAGGTACGGGTTGGTTCTGACCACTTTGGTAGAAACAGTCTGAAGATAGACATGAGTATAAAAGACTTTGCCGTTTGGCTAATTTGGTATAGATTTGTAAGGCTTGGGTAAACTGGTAAATTAGTAAATTTCTTAAAATAATACAGAGGCATGTAAGACACATAGGTAGAACAGCGCCTCAGAAAAAGGGGTTAGTACTGTATTCCCATGTTTTGGAAAAGACATGAAGTAAGGCCGCCAGAACAGGGACCGAGTGCGTCTTTTGGTTTTCCTGCCGCGATTTCCCATCAGCGTCACGTTCGTGGAGGGGGGATGCAAGGCAGTCCTTGACTTTGCTTCGACGTGGCCAAAGTCACTGGCTGAGGCCCCGGCCCGCATTCCCTGGAGGGAGCAGTGTGCTCGCTCGGGCTGCTGGGGAGGTCGCGGCCGGGGCTGGGGGTGGGCTGTGCGCCGCAGGGCTCGAGGGGCGGAGAAGCAGCCTCTGGGTGCAGGGCTTCCCTCTGGTCATGCCCTCCTCGTTGGCTTGGGCTTGGTCGCAGAGGCTGGCTGCCAGTGTCACCCGGAGATGGGGTGGAGGCGGGCCTCAGGGCGCCTCAGATAATCGAGCAGCAGCCGTGACACTCGGAGCAGTGCTGCTGCTTCTTCTTGGGGTGGAAGATGGTGAGGATGGCTTCGTCGAACACCGCTTTGAGGCCTTTCTGCGTCAGCGCCGAGCATTCCAAGTAGCACTGGGCTCCGATCTTAAACACAAGAGGGGAAGGCGTGAGAGGGGACAGGGAGGCCCCGCGTCGGCCCCTGCCCGGCCGAGCGCTGCTACAAGCTGCCTGGCCGCTGGGTTGGATTTTTTTTCTTTCTTTTGCATTTTTGTTTGCTTGTTTGTTAATTCTCACCCGAGGATTTTTTTTCATTGATTTTATTTATTTATTTTTTTAAAGAGAAGGGGGGGGAGAGAGGGAAACATTGATGTGAGAGAGACACATCTATTGCTTGCCTCCCACGCCGCCCCAAACCTGCAACCCAGGTACTTGCCCTTGACTGGAAATCGAGCCCATGCCCGTTTGGTGCGTGGGTGGGTGCTCTAACCACTAAGAAGACAGACCAGGGCTTTCTTTTTGCATTTCATTTTGCCTCTGCTATCCTGATTTATTTTATTTTGTTTTTTATTTTTTACTTTCTGCCATTAACAATAAATGACTATGGATCACTTTGGGTGAGCAATAAATTCTGAAAGTGATCTATAACCACTTATTCCTAATATAAGAATGTAAAAACATGAAAATGAATAGAGGATTGTGATATGGTTTCAATATATTTTGTGAACACTAGGGCTGCCTGATGTTGGTTTTAGCATCCTCTTGTTTGTATGCAGAATGTGTAAGTTTAGTACAAGCGAAATGTATCTACTCCTTCTGTACACAGTGCAGCAGAGTGTCAGCGTGGTTTATAAAACATATAGAAGGAGAGTGGTGTATGGTTTTACAGGTTATTCTTGAATAAAATGCACCTCCGATAAGGTATCTCTCAGCAAGGTAATAGCCAACTGATGTTATTTGTTTTTTTAAATTAAAAAAATTCTTTTTTTAATCCTCACCTGAGGGTATTTTTTCAGAGAAAGTGGG